CTCACTCCCAAGCCACAGCCCAGCTACTCCCCCACCCCCAGCCCTGCTGCTGCCACTCACTCCCAACCCATAGACCTTTGGCCCTGCCAGTGCCCTCGCTCCCAACTCGCATTACCCCGCCCCCACAGCCATGGACCTCTGGCCATACTCTGGATATATGATTGTGGGGGCAGTGATATGTTGGTGCCCTGCCTGTGCCCATTCTGTTGCCCCCCCCGCCCTGCCGCTGCCATTCAATTCTGACCCATAGACCTCTGGTCATGCTGGTGACCCTCAGTCTCAACCCACAGCCTCTTGGTGCTGCCTGTGCCCTGCACTCTTGACCCAAAGTTACCTACCCCTCTGGTGTCCCTCACTCCCAAGCCACAGCCCCCCCAACCCTGCTGGTGCCCCTCACTCCTGACTCGCAGTCCCCTGCTCCCTCCAGGCCTGCAGCATCTCCCAGCTGCCCCATCCCTGCAAGCACAGGCACTAGCCCCAGTGCTGCAGGCCAGGCCACACAGCAATCTGTAGTCCCTGCTGGAGGGGCAAACACATCCATCTTGCCTCCTTTGCCCTGCTGCATCCCCAGCGATTGGACAGCTTCCCCCAGCACTGGCAGGCACCTGCACCCCTCACACACCCATCCTTTATACACACCCTGCCACACACATGCACACAGCCCCCCAGACAGTCCCCAAGACCTTGATCTCCAACCCCTGCCACCTATAGACTTACCTGCATGCAGCTGTCAGGGCTGTATGCCAGCCACGTGTATGAGAGCCCTGCCTCCAACTGCCCTCCGTCCGCTCCCCTCAGCCTCAAGCAACTCCTTGTTAGGGCAAACCAGGAAAATCTTCAAAGCTGAGCTGACTAAAATCCCAGGCATTTGATCATATTTAAAAAAAACCTGCCTGGACGGAGATTGGAGGATCCAAAAAGAGACCATGTCCAGGAAAACCTGGACACATAGTAACCCGTTATGTTCCTTACCACCCTTAAAAGTTTGGGTTTGCCATCTAGCCTGGGGAAACAGAGCCACAGCAAATAGCTGCGCAAGACTGCTGAAGCACAACAGCATTTTGCTATTATTTTTATTTAAAAGAGTTCCAATTCTCTGATCAGCTGCACAGGACTGCTGATAAGCTCCAGCTCATGAGAAGAATGGTGCTCTTGGAAGTAAAAGCCACAGCAAATCGATGAGCAATTTGTCCTTAATTTAGCAACCAGGTGTGAGTTAAGAAGGTTGCAAACCACCTAGATAGGAAGGATCTGGGACCTACAGTTTATGTTCCTCAACTGGTGTCCAAGAGCACTGTGAAGCCTGCCACCTGGTGGCTGGATTCATTATATCAACTGATATGTGAATTAAAATAAACCTTAAAATGTGAAAACCTGAAAACTATAGCTCTGCTGGATGAGCCAAAGGGGAGCCTCCCTGTGGCTGATAGATCTGAGCTAAGCTTGTCTTATCTGGAAACCAATTTTATCTGAATTCCTTATTTTAGGAAGGATCCAGGATTTGGTAAAGAGGGGTGTGGGTGCAGTTACAGTGCTGCAGGTGACTGCACCCCCCGACTCCCATCCCACCCCTAGCATCAGGGTAGGGAACCCACATGGAAGAAGCACCTGCCAAGTTCCCCAATCAGCTAACAATCTTCCCTTCCCTTTCCCTTCCCTTCTGTGCACAGGAGTATGATCCCCATCCTTCAGTCCTATTCTCCCTGCCCCCACTAAGACTGCTATCCCTGCTGTCTGGATGGTGCAAGGAGGTTCCAGAGCAGCTCTTTCCCACTCCAGCTGGACTGTACATAAAACCAGGTTTGGCTACAGACAACAGCGGCAGCAATGGTAACAGCAGTGGGTGGGATTCCTTTCCCCCTCACCTGCTTCTGGGCTGGCAAGGAACACTCGGTGGGACCAGGCAGGGAGGAGGAACATGTCTGCTGCTACAACTGTCCCTGGCTGAACCCAGCTCATCACAGAGCCTGGCTGGAACACACAGGAGCAGCTCTGGAAACTCTCCCCACCACCCGCCTTGGGGCAGCTGGAGACAGCGACATCAATGACCAGGGTGGGGCGTGGTCGGGGAAGGAAAGGGGAGTGGAGGAGATATGCTGCTGAGCATGGAGGGGAAGGGAGGGAGGAATTTTTTTACCAATTCAGGGACTTAAAAACAAATTCCTGGATGCTGCTCAGTCAAGACTGAAAGGGCTGGTGTAAGCCCCAATCTTTGCAGTTCAGAAGGACACATGGACAGAGGAAAAGGGGTCTTCTGTGCTCCTAGGCAAAGCTGTGCTGTGGAGGATGCCCAGTCCTGGAACAGAGTTAATCACAAAAAGCATGTAGATAATTGCCTTCTCTAGTAATCTCATTCCGATATCTGACTCTCAAAAGTTACCCAAGAAATGCCCCAAACAGATCAAAAACCTGACAAAGAAAGTCTTGCATTTGAAAGCTTGTCTAACTTTATTTATCCCAACTACAGAGTTGGTCCAATAAAAGATATCTTTCTAAGAAATTCTTGCCTCATAATTTCTGGACAAATTGCAGTTACAGCATCACTCTTACACTACCCAAACATTATAAAGCAGTCTCTAAGCAGAGCTGTATGGGAAATGTAACAAGAATTCAATGTTTTAGAAAAACACAAAGTTTTCTACATGCTAAGAAAAATACCTTATTAGACCACATGCAACAGCTCCCAGCAGCTCCCACCCTGATAAGATTTTTTGTATGAAATTTTGCAGTTTTATTCTTTACTAAAAACAAGATGAAACAAATGGGTTGGATTGTGTTGTGAAACAGGTCATTCTGTTATTCCAAATGTAAGAGACAATTTTGAGGAAATCTGTTTTGTAATTTTTGGAAAAATCCTAGATCTGTCTGTACCCTAAATATATCTGTGCAGATTTGCAAGTTTTACAAGAAAGAGCAGGCACATAATTGTCTTTAAAAGAGAATTATTAATGGAATAGAAAATTATCTTTGCAAACAGGTCATCAAGCTGGGTAGACAAGCCTCTGTGAACAGGCCATTAAGCCGGAATTCCAGTGCATCGGAGACTCAATTAATCAAGTCTGCTGGAGCGTGGCAATTGCCATGCTCCAGCAGCCTCCTGCATCTTCTGTATCAGTGTCCCTGCACTTAAAAAATGACGGGAGGGGTGCTTGAACTAAAGCTTGTTGAATGAGCCATTTTTAAGCGTGGGGATGCTGATACAGGAGATGTGGTGGTGCTTTAGAGTGGCTCTTGGAGCCGCTCTTATTAAAGCGCTGCCTTCCACCCCAGGAGCATGTGTCAAAGTGCCCTTAATAACCTATTCTTTAGTTGTCACTATATTGCAATTGCAATGCTCATCTTTGTTGTTCATCTGGCAACAGGTGGTTTAGAGAACAAACTATCCTTTACAGCAGAGGTATCAAACTCACCCCAGGCCCTAGGCTGGAGTCGGACCATGGGAGCTCCTTCTAGGCTGGAGGGGCCATGTTCAGATAGCAGTGTGGGACTGAGCCAGGTGGCAGCTTGGATCAGGGGGGCTGGGGGTGGCATGCAGAGGTGAGGAGCCAGAGGCTTGTGGTAGTCGCCAAGCTCTACACAGCTCTACACATCCCAACTCCATGTGGATGCCCAGTCAGAGCTCCTCCTCACAGGATGCCTTTGGACTGGCCAATGCTGGAACCTGGCTCTGACCAACCACATGCCCCTGGCTCAATGCTGCTGCTCAGTGGCACAGTGTTCTGGCCAGTCAGCAGGATCAGGGGTATGTGGCACTGTGGAGACAAAGACGTACACTTCCAGTAGCCCACTGAACTACCGGCAGGCTGGATGCAGTGGTTCCAGGGGCCCAAGCCTGCTTGCGGGCCATATGCTTGACCCCTGCTCTCCTACATCTCTGTGTCAAAATGGCAGACTTGTGTTTTCTGGATTGCAGGGCATTACAGAAGGCCCTGTTGTGAAGTTAGCAGTTCTCACTGGGGCGAAGTGTGGGACACCGAGATGTGAGTGTGCAGGATTGTGCCTCTGATCAAGACATGAATGAAAAGGGAACAGCCAGGTAAAGGGAGAGGAGAAGAAGTGGAATGGTGCCTAACCCCAAGCAGGCATTGGGAAGACCACAGGTGACGCGTAGGGGGTACACATGGGTGCACATCGGCGTCTGTGGGCAGTTGCCAATTGCCGATTGCCACGCACCCCCTTGCCCGCTGCTGACACCACCGCAGCCATCTGTGGGCAGTCCCCACTCGCTGCTGCCACGCCCCCTGTGCCACCACCACTGCCTGCGGGCAATCGCTGTGGCCCCCAGCCTCGGGAGGCATGAGGTGTTCATGGGGAAGATGGCCCCTTTCCACGAGCACGCTAGTGCAGAACGCGTGATGGCAAAAACACAGGCCAGCATGCCGTGGGGTGGCTGTGCAGGACTACCAGGGGGCTGTGCGAAGGCTGTGGATGGGCTTGCACCCTGAGGCAGCCCCTTGGGGAGCCCCCCTGCCCTGTGAGGGGGCCAGTGTTGCCGGTCTGAAATACAAAATTATCATATTGGAACTTCAAAACTATTGTATTTGCTGAAAAACGACTGTATGCTGAAAAAATATGCAAATGAGCACACAAATAAGTCTTTTTCTTATTTATTTGATATTGTTCACTTGTAAAGCGCCAGTGCGTGAATGAGCACTGGGTCATCATAATGGAAGCATTTCTGTATTTCCAGGCAAGCAGCCATAAGGAAGTGCTGCCGGCCAACCCCGAAGTCAGTTAAGACTCCTCCAGAGCAATACGGGTTTTGCATGCCCTGCATCAATTCGGTGCCTCACAAACAACAAGGTTTTGGGGGTAATTTTGGATTGCCCAAAGAACCGCTTACAATTGTGAACACTTTTCAGATCATCCATCGTACATTGCACAAAGGTGGATTTTATCCTACAGAGAGGGTAATGCTCGTAGGCCTGTCAACACTGGAGCGGGCAGTTGGGGGGGGGAAGGGGGGGCACCACCTCTGACGTAGGCGGCGACGGAGCAATTGCCCCCCACGCGAGGCACGAACCCCCTAACTGACTCCAGTGGAGGCGGGCCCAAGCCCGAGGGGGCGGGGCCAAGCGCTGAAAGCTGCCTGGAGTCGCTCCAGCCCGCCCCTGCCCCCTTGGTGCGTGTGGCCCCGCCCCCCGCCGCAACGCAGCCTCCTTGCATCGCCCCGGTCCACCTCTGCCCTCGCTCCCGCTCCCGCTTCGGCTCCACCCGCCCTTCCCTGCGGACGTGGAGTCGGGCCGCGGCGGGTGAGTGCGAAGGCGGCGCGGAGCCTCCGTCCTGCTTTCTGCCGCCCTCGGTGTGAGCAGCGGGGATGGCGGGTGCGGGCTGATCCCGCGGGGTCGGGGGCCTCCCGCCCTCCCCTCCCCCCACGCACGTAGCGCCAGGGGAAGGAGCCGTTGAGGCTGCGGCGGTTGCCGGCATGGAACGCGGCTACGTCACGGGCAGCCGTTAGCGGGTTGGGAGCTCTGGGGCCAGGGCGGCGGTGCGGGAAGCGCCCATTTGTGACAGGGCCCCTTGCTCTGGTTGCCCAGCCTGCTCTCGCCCCCTTTGCCCCAGGGTCCTTGGACAAATTTGCACCCAGAGCAGCGATTCGCATCCAGGGGGGCTATCGCTGCACCCTGGGGTGCCTTGAGGTCCTTCCAGGGGTGCTGCGCTGTGCTGGGCATGCAAATGCCTGCACAGGATTTGCAAAACCACACTGGAGATTCTGCATGGATGATTTTGCACAGTTTGGGGAGGGGGGAAATCTGTTCTGGAGCAAGCTTTGGTACAACTGTAGAAAATCTGGGCTGGAAGGGACCTCAGCAGGGCACATAGGCCAATCCCTGCTCAAAGCAGGACCACCCCCAGCTTGCCCATAGTTGGGGTAGCTGTTTTGCTTTCTGAGCTCTTGGCCACAGAAGAATTGCTCATTTAGTCTTCTGTCGGGGAGAAATGAGTGACAGCGAAGAGCTGGCACAGGTGCCTTGAGTCTTAACCTTGGGTGGCCTCCCATCAGAAGTGGAAGCACCGATCTAGGATGTGGACCGATATGTTCTGTGAATCGCTTTGATTTGTAATGATGTCGGTCTTCAATTTTTTACAAACCGCTTTTAAAAAAGAACATGCGCATGTTTTCTTCAACATAGTAGCCCAAAAATACCATGTGGGTGTCGTGTTTTGCAAGAGATTCAGCTGCTCAGCCTGCCTTGTCAAATGCAGAGGAAACTGATGGGGCTAATTTCATTGTCCCAGGCAAAAGTGTCCAGCATGATGTAAATGATAAAAAGTAAATTGGACTTTTAAAATCTGATTTTATTTTTACATCAGAAGAAGAAGACAGAATACATTTTCTTTTGACCTGAGTCTTATATTGTCAAGAAGCCTGTAAATTGTAGCGTACTTGGCACTGGCAATAAATACCCTTTCCTGTGTGTTTCACAGGGAAACTGGGAGAAGTTGTCATGTGAATACAGGACGTTGGGTGATTGGCTCGTTCAGTGAAGGGTTCCTGCACAGGTACGATATCTTGTTGACTGAATAAGAGCATAACAGGACTTAAAGTGAAGACTAATGGGGTGAAATCCTGGCCCTGTTGAAGTTAATGGCAAAATATTGTCACCTAGTAACATGATATCTGGTGTCCGTTGCTGTGGCTTGAACAGGCAGATCAGCAGATGCCCAATTTTATTTTGGACAGTGCCTCTTAATTTTTTCTGTGAAGCATAGAGAAGACGGTTCATTCATTGTCACAGCACCATTTATTTAGAAATGTAAGGGATAGTGTCAGTATAAAGTTTTAGTTGAGGCCAGTGGGGCTACTTGCATATAAAGCTGTGTGCAAAGAATAAATGGCAAAGATGAATGGGGAGAAAACTTGAGCAATATCATACCTAAATTTCTTTGCAATCTGGCTTTAACTTTTTTTATTTCTGGCTTACACTTAAATGTCAGTCACTTAACCTCTCTGTGCCTTACTTTACCCATCTGTCAAATGGCAATGCTATTTTATTATCCATCTAACAGCTTGTGAGGCTTTACTTATCAGAGACTTGCAAGATTATAATGAAAATGTATCGCCTAGACCTAGGCAGACAAGGTTCCTTGGGTGAATTTGATATCTTTTTATTAGACCAACCCAAATGGTTGGAGAATAGTTATTAAGCAAGCTTTCGGGTTCAAAAACCCTTTGTCAGGCTAAGGAAGTTTCAGCAGTTGGTGTGTGCTCTTCCTAGACCTACACATTTTAATTCATACTCTTATTAGGATCAAAAAATACTCAAGAGGGTGAATTAAACCAAATAAATTACAATACATAGCTGCTTAATTAATTTTCTCTTTTATTAATGCTTTAATTCTCTAACAAATATGCTGTTGGTGACTACATTCCTTCCCTAGTTATGGGAGTCCTCTCTGATTTTTTCCTCTTTGCTGGGGAAAAAGGAGACTGCTTGAGTGCCCTTTTTTCATCATTGCTATTTATTTTCCTTTGATTTCTCACCACCACTGTTGTGTCATAAATGGCAGCAATGGATGGAGAACAGGATGTAGCTGCTAATAAAAGTAGCTCAACATTGGTCCAAGTGACAACCAGTAGAGATTGTTCAAGTGCTGAATGGCACTCTCTCCAGCAGACTAAGTATGCTATCTGTATTGTATACACTCGTTCCTGTGCTAGGTGCAAACATTGTCAATCACTGTCGCAAGATTTGTGTGTTCTACAGATTGTATCACAAGTATTTTGATCATTGGTATGTCTGTTGTTCTTTTGTGTTTAGCCAGTTGTTCAAAGATGAAGGAAAGCTGGTCTGCATTTGATACTTTTGAGCCTCATTTCAGGCCTTTAGTAGTAATTGAGCTAGCAAAAGATACCAAAGAAGAAACCAAAGAATGGCTCACTCAAAGAATTGAGGACAAAAAGAAAAATGGAGGTGAGTATAATGACTCTTTGGCATATTAAAATTGTGCTAGTTCATATTATTGGAACAGGTTCAAGGTTACCATATTTTCACAAATAGAAAACAGCCCTGATTATAAGACAGCCCCCCAATAATTAGATTCTGTGGATGAAAAATGTATAAATTTGTTATAATTTTCCAGGTATAGAATCTGATTATTGGAGGTTTGCCTTGAATTTGTCCCCCTCCCACTGCTGCACCAGGGAAAATAAATCTGTCGTGGGGGTCGGGTAGCCCCTTTGATCTCTGTTTCTTTCTCTCCCTTTCTTCTCTCTCTAATGTCAGACCCTGCTCTACCTGAGCACAAGGTAATGAAGAGCAAAATAGAAAACAACAACTTTAAAATGAAAAATGGCTGTAGCAATTTGTACATAGTACCCATGCACTTAGTTCATCCAGGATTAATGCATGTTACCCTTTTTTTTTAAACTGATGCAAGTTTTAGCACATGTACTCCATGAACACACTTTTGAGCAGCACTTTGGCATCTACTTATACATAGTATAAACCTCACATGACGTTAGTCCAAAGCCAAAGGCTCATAATTTATGACAGTTCATTGGGCTGGGCCCCAGTGAGTCAACAGTGTTTTAAGCCATGATGACCCCACAGCTCAGCACTGTTCCATATGTGCGTGTATTCCAGATATCCTGCACAAAGGATCCATGTGCTAATTAGCCCTCACTCATGACTGGAACTGGGTGTTCTTGTCATGAGTCCTGGGATGCTTCAAAGTCTAAATGTATGCAAGGGTAGTGGCTCACTGTGACTTGAAAAAGAGTTGGTGCTGAGAGGGACTGAGAGTAATGGACACTGAATGCAATGGGTTTGCGTCTCTCGTTTTTTCACTATGCTAGAAAATTGGGGATTATGCTTTACTTACCTGGCAGGGGAAACATCATGTATCTGGGTCCAAGAAGGCAGTTTTACTTAAGTGTTCTCGGGGATAACTGCGCTTCTGGCGTGGTTTAGTACCCGCTGAGTTGTTGGGGCTTAAAGCCCACTTTATGGAAATAGGAGGCTCCTCTCTAGCTTGCTTCTGCGGCCATATGGCTGAGGGCAGGCAAAACTTGGGGGCATCCAAACCCCAAGCCACTGGGCTTGGGCCTGCATGTAGGATGCCTGCCAAAAGACTTTGGAAATATCTGAAGCCCCTGGTGGGGGTGGAGGATGTTTGCTGGTTGTAGGGTCACTTATGGTTCTGGACTGACTCATGGATTTGGACTTGATGTGGCTGATTTGGCTTGGAACATGAAACATTTCTTTAAAAAAATAAAAATTCGGGATTATGATTAACAAATCTAGGGCATCATCTTTTCTGGAACGCAACAAAATCAATACTATTTCAGGAGTGAAAGGAAATTTTAGTGAATCTGTTTAAATTATAACCTGTAGAGTGTCCTTTCTTGAGCCACTCCAGGAAATTTGTAAGTATTGGAGTGAAAGGATATATTTCACAGATACAGTTTATACAAATAAAGCAGGACTAAGTAATTTGCACTTAGAATAATTTGTACATCTTAAAGTAGACTATAACCTAGAGTTTGGGAATACCACTTGTGCGGGCCAGGCGCGAGCCGGGCCCTTTTTCGTGCTACACGCGGGCTGTGGCCAGCAGCCCAGGCACGCGGGGTCGGAGAGGGCGCGCGTCAACGTAGAATTAGGCACAGACTCGTAGCGGTAGATTTAAAGATTGTTTACTTACACCGGAGATGGTTGCGGTGCAGGCTGGAAAACTTGCTTGAGTTGCGGTTACAGACAAAGACAACACGAACGATCATGTGGAGTTCGTTAGGCTCCACGGAAACAGAGCTCCGGATGCCCTGGACAAGCGCGCCACCGAAATGGAAACTTCGTAGATACGTCTTATAAAGAATTATCGCTCGAAGACGGAAAGAGGTGGGCGATGGATCAGGTCGCCAAACTCCTCTGAATCTCACACGGGGTTTCTGTTACCCTGCCGTGTACCCAGAGTCCCCACGAGACGGATGTGGAGTCCTCTTCGGCTTGGGCGGAAACCGCTCAAGCCTCTTATACAGCTAACAGGCCAATCGTTAGTCGCCACGTGGGAATAATTTAGAACTAGCCAATAACGGGGAACAAATTTGCATGCGGGTGGCGGGAACTCCTTTGCACCGTGCATTTCCCTTGCAACTTGAGCAATGCACTCTGCAAAGGAAGCTACAAATTGGTGGGAAACTCTTCCTTGCACCGGGGTTCTCCTCTGCAGCAGAAAACTCTGTAATTTGGCGGGGATAATTCTAGTGCCGAAGCGCACACACAATCATACCTTTGGGTTATGACACCACTCTATTTCCATATCTTGGTGGAACATTCATTTTTCTACTTCAAAACAGATTTTTCAGTATCACAGTGATAGTTCTTCATAAATTTATGAGTTGCTATAATGTTTATTTACAGTATTAGGTATAGATGCATGATCTGTCTTCTGTATTGCTGGAAACAAAGTGTCACCAGACTTTCCCAAATTACCTTTTTGCCTGGCACCCTCTAAAATTTTATCCGTTATACACAAATAGAATTGTATATTTAAACAATAAGGGGAAAAGTGTATACAATCAGATTTCTATGAACTGTAAATGGCTCAGGGTAAAAAGGTTTGCAGAAGGAATCTAGGCCTTATTTTACTTATATCCCAGGTACAAAATCATTGGGACTTCAGTGGGTATTGCACTATGGCCATAGATTTGCTTCTAGGCCTTATATATAAATGTAGGTGATATTTCTATTAAAAGAGCTATAAACCTCACTCATATGAATAACTTGTCAAAGTAGATTGGGCTGTATAAATTAGGCTTGCTTATAGTCTCTAAATAAACATTGCCGGGTAACTGTCCTCCATATACCTCACTGTCAGTTGCCTGTTGGTTCTCCTGCAAGTTCCAATTGGTCAGGATTTTTACAAGAGTCAAACAAAATCCAGACCTAATCCTGAAAAGTGGTGAATGCCTCTTGTCAGATGCTGTGAACTGTAAATTCCTATTGCCTTAGAGAGTTTTGGGTGCTTTACATTAAACAGGTTTGGTTTTAAAGTGATATGGATTAAAATAAATATTTTTTGATGTGTGCCTTTATCCTACAAAGGTGCCCAGCTGTTGGTTAAACCATTGGCAAAAGAAGATGGAGGAAAAATAGATGGAAATGAAAATATCTATCTTGTTGGAGCCTCTTACTTAAGGCTGCTGCTGGGAGCTGAAACTGTGGGACTGGTTAAAGAGTGTAATGATAACTCAATGAGAACCTTTACATATAGCAGTAGGAAAACTTTCAAAGATTTTGCAGGTGAGCATTTTGGGTTTCTTCCTGAATCATTTACAGCAGCAGTTTTCAACCCTTTTTAACAAGTGTACCCCTTCTGGGCACATAGTGGGGCGCATGCTCCTGGGTCTGTGTACAGGGCATGGGCAGGATGCTGCTGGGGCTGCACTGGGCTGTTCCTGGTGGGGGTGGGTGGGCTGGGCCGGGCTGTGCTCGGGGTGGGAGGTGACAGTGCTGTGGGGAGGGCTATGTGGGGGCTGCAGCCGCTCCAAAATTTGCCGTAACCCAGCCCGACTCCCACTTCTAGTGTGTTCCAGCCCAACAACTCTGCTGGGAACAGCCCAGCACGCACCGCCTCCCCACCCCATGCCCTCCTTAGGTGCATGCAGCATCAGGACCTGTCCCCACCCCTGCTCGCGCCCCCTGGACGAGCTGCTCACAGCTCTGTCCCATGCTGTGCCCTGTCTGGGCAGTGCCTACCCCTGTTCCAGCCCCACTCCCTCCCTCACTGTGGGGGGCGTATGGGAGTGGGGCTACGGGGAGGGGGGCACTGCAGCCACCCCAAAATTTACTGTAGCCCCCACAATTCCCCCACAATTCCACCGCCACCCTCCCCAAGCACAGCCTCACCCCGCGTACAGATCTGGGAGCTCATGCCCCCTATGCCCTCCCAGGGTGTGCATAGTGGCAGGAGTCACCCCACCCTGTGTGTCTCAATCCTGCACCCTGCCCTGGCTGGGCATCCCTGTCCCTCTCCTCCCCCTCCCCCCACAACAAACTTATCCGCCAGAACCAGCTGCTCTCTACGTGGCCGGGCTGTGTCCTGGCCACCCATGTGCTGCGCTGCAGCTGCATGCACGCGTGCAGAGTTCCGTGTACCCCCTACAACCCTTTTAAGTAACTCTAGGGGTATACATACCCCTGGCTGACAACCATGCATTTATAGAACTCCTTTCCCCTTGCATTCTACCAGAGCCCAAGCCTGGACATTTTCCAGATGTACTGCAAAGCCTTCCTGTTTGGGCAGGCATTTAGAAAGCAAGGCTAGACAGCAGTATTGTTTAGGGAGTTCTTGTTTCATATTTTATTTTAATATTTCACTTGTTTTTATTCTGTGTTAGTGAAAGCTGCTCTGAGCCTTTATTGGGGAGAACATCTAATAAGTAAAATTAGGATTGAAGATTAATGAATAAGGACACTAGTCAACTGTTTAATTGCCATTTTGTTTCTTTTAACAAAGACAGATGAAATAAGACAGTGCTTATATAATCTTTTTGACCTATAAAAATTCAGACTATATCGCGGAATTAATCCATAGTTCCTGTCTCTGGCTGACCCTTAGTTTTGGAATGTACTTCATTTTTTTTATATGATGAGTGATCATTTATTGATTTGAAAAGTTATGTAGAAAATGACAAAATCCTAAAAAGAAAGTAGTCTACATGTCCATGATTATTAGTCTAAAATAGGAAGTAAGAACATTTTTCTTAATTCTTTTATGAGGATAGTTAAGCACTGGAGCAGATTGTCTATGGAAGTTATAGAATCTCTGTCATTGGATGAGTGCAAGTTGGCTAAACCTTTGTCTGAAATGATTTAGAGTGACAGATGATTTTTTGTCCTGAACAGGGGTTGGACTAACTTGAAGTTCTGTTTTTCCAAGGTTCTGTGGTTGATTTCTTGGTTAAATAACTTGTGAGTGAATGTTTGGCTTACTGAATTATGATTAGCTGGAAAAATGGGAATATTTTGCTTCATTATGTTTAGACATTAAACATTTGGAATTGGAATCAAGCAACTAGCATAAAAAGCCTGACTTCAGAGTAACATGACTAACTATCTCTTTATAGCATAAGAAATTATAGACTTCAGGTTTGTACGGATTAGATTGTGAGATGATTGTGTAAGTGACCATTCTTCTCTTTTTGTTTTGAATGTTGAAGTTACTGCTAAATATATTAATACATTTCTCTGATAATACCACCTGCAAAGGCATCCTAGACCTTCCTTGTAGGCTTGGCAACACACCTGCTCTCCAAGACTGCACTGTTCCACCTTTAATCTTGCCAACATTTTTATGTCTATTTCAGTGGGGCCCTTATCTTAATAGTGAAAATGTGGATAGTTAAAGTTCTATTTCTAACGAGTAAAGACACTAGAAAGTTAATTCTGTTTGTTGTGGATTTTGACACCATTATTTGACACCAGTGTTGTTATCAAAAAAACAATGTACCAGTGCATTTTCCTTTCTTCCTTGGTGATCCTGGCATTGAAAGAGCATGCCAAGGCTCACTTGCTTATTTATCTCACATGTGTATTTACTTATTTAATATTCTAAAAATGCTTAAAAGGTGCCTATCCATGTATTTTAGATGTCTTTGACATAACTTAAAAAAATACAACTTAAATGCACCAGTTTCCCTCCCTATCCATCAGTTCTTCACCCTTCTAATTCTCTGTATGCCTCACTCTTCCTATTTTCAGATCTATCCAAAAAAGTTGATATTTCCAATGTCCAGTTTGGATTATTTTGAACTATGGTATGGAGTAAATTTCAAATTTGGTAAGCCTTTATAAGGGATGCTCTGCCATTAGTGCCCATTTCCTTTATACCAGAGGGGCTCAGCTCGAGCATTTCTGCTGATTGCAATATGGCAGTAGGGTATGGGGAGTGAGATTATCTTTTAGCTATGTAATTCCTAAGTAATTTTAGAGCTATAATAGACAGAGCCAGGGCCTTAAACTTCACCTGGAAATCTACAACCAGACAGTGCATATTATGGAGTACAAGTTTTTAGTTTGCTTTTGATAGCTGTTCCACTTTCCAAGTAGCCTTCTGTTTCTATCCAAGATTCAAGACTGAATGGGTTTAAGCAGTAGAGTGCATTCCATTACTCTAATCTTGAGGTGATAAGCTGTGGACGCTATTTATAAGGACACTATCCAAAAGGAATGGTATCCAAATTCTAGGGATGTAAATTATGAGATAAAGCTGGGAATCTGAGAATCTAGCTAGATGTCTTTTCTGTAAAGCTGGACAGTAAATGTTGGATGCAGGCATTTAGTCAAAAGGACAGATTCGACTTCTGCCATATCCACGAGGTGCTGCTCTCAAATCTCAGTCTTGAAAGAAAACATTAAGATGCATATTGTTAGCATACAGAAGGCACGCTGACCTTTTTGAGTGTGATCTTATTGAGGATTCACATGTTCCAATTATTGTATATAACGTTATAAGTCTCATTCTCTCTATTGGCTTTGGTTTTCCTCCTGCTTCTTTATTATATTCTTACCTAGTATTTTTTTAAGGACATCATTTTTATTCTCCGAGAATAGAAATCCAATTGGATGGTATCTTTATTAGGAGAAAAAGGGTTATCTGAAGACAAAATTCCAACAGGACTTCCAATTCAACCTCCTTAGAGTTCAAAATGATCTGTCTTAAGGTTTTTCATTGCTTATACTTTCTTACTAATTTTTGGTCATGACTAATCATTTTGAATTGGTTCATCATTCTGTGAACTTCACCTTCCATAAAAGACAGTATTTGTAGCCAGTGGAGGTGGGTGTGTAACTGCTACTAAGTATCTGGCATGTGCTCTTTTATACGGCTTTGCCCTCAGAAGGTGAAATAACTGAACAGTGTCACCTATTTTACACTGAGGATCTAAGACCCCAAAATGAGACTCCTGTCAGAATTATATGTACAGAGGAGCAGAAATTCAGATGGATAACACTCTTACGAGCAGGAATCCTTTTTTGGTATTCTTTCAAGGCACTTAGTTATTCAGATTAAAAGTGCGCTGTTTGAAATGTTTCAGTTGGGTTATGCTAGTGCTCAGAGGTGACCCTAGCAAAGTGCGGGGCCCAGGGCAAATCAGCCCGTTGTGGGGCTCCATGCCTGCTCCCATCCCATGGGCCCTGGACCCGAAGAAGCTGCCACCAGTATTGGCGGCAGCAGCGGGGAGAGGGGTTGCGAGTGGCTGGATGCAGAACCACTGCTCCGCCCTGCTCCGTGCTGCTGCTGCTCCACCCCACTCCGTGGGGGCCTCCCAAAGCACAGGGCCTGGGGCAGTTGCCCCGATTTGCACCCCCCAGGGATAGCTCTGTCAGTGCTCCTGCTGGGGCCCAAGCTGGAGGTTTCTGACTAGATGGTCTTGCTTCTCAACTCAGGGTCAGACTGGTCATCATATTTGGGGTCAGGAAGGAATTTTACCCCACGGTCAGATTGATATGGCCTGTGAGGGTTTTGGCCTTTGTCTGTAGCGGGGTATTAACTTTTTCTAGAAGCAGAACATTGACTGCATGCTTGCTTTACCTGTGTCAGATTAGGGTGTTATGTGTTGTGTTATGTCAGCGTTGACGGTAGTCTTACAAAGAGTTTAGATTATTGATTGTATAGGATAGTCGATATCCTATACAATTGATATTGTATTGTATCCTGCCTCAGGCAGGAGTTTGGACTAGATGACCTCTGGAGGTCCCTTCCTACACTACTTCTCTCTGACCTCTATGTTTTCTATTGCTGAAAGTGGTTTTTTTTTTAAGATTACTTTTCTCTAACAGATACTTGGTTGAATAGCATTGATATGCAGTATTTTGGATCCTGGACATTTTGATTTCAGTTTTTGTCTTGAGAGTCCAAATTAATTATGTTCTTTGACATTTTTGGGATGCTGAGGCAAGAAGTTACAAAGCATTTTCTTTCTGCTTTAGAGGACAATCACAATTTCCTTACAATGTCAGAGTGTCAGTACATAATCAAGCATGAACTTGAAAATTTGAGAGCCAAAGATGAAAAAATGATCCCTGGTTATCCTCAGGCAAAGCTATATCCAGGAAAATCAATTGGTAAGTAATGTCATTTTATAATCTCTTTATCTGCTTTGTCGTAATATTTGTGAAAAATCAGGAATTGTGAAACCATGAACATGCAAAATAAAGGGAACTTTCAGTTTCCTGTGCCTGTGAGTGAAAACTTCTCCAATACTATTAACTTATTTTAAAGAAATGAAGCTTATTTTTTAAAAACCTTATTGGTGATCTGCTCAAAAGACAAATGGATACTTTAAAACCACATGACACAGTTGAGGAAACTGCTTTTCTTAATATATTCCCTGTGTATTTAAATTAAGTAAGGAATTTATTAGTAATATGCATGTATCTGAAAATCTATCTGAAGATTGAATCAAGAAAGTTCAGAATCTTATGGCCATAACACAATCTTTGTTTACTAGGCCTAAACTTTTTTCTTTTGCCTCACTTTCTGTTTTTGTTCTCCCACATGCCTTTTTACAGGTTTTCCTAATTATTTCTTGGCTTTTATATGTATTGTGATTGATATTATCTGAACAATAATGCTGAAGAAGAACTCCAGAATTCCAAATGTTAGTGATAAAGAACATTATTTGATGCAATAATTTTCCCATATTTATTATTTTCTGTAATCGGTTAAATCGTATCTAGATTTCTCTGTCAGTTAAGAATATTTAAGGTTAGGACTCTGGAATTTCGTTATTATGCTCTTTTCAACTGTGTATAACATGTATACATTTTGATAACTGCCATTCATTATTTTCTACCTTTGGTATCCAAAATGTTGGGAAACTTTCTTTTTATCACATTAGAGAAAAAATCAAGAGAGATGAAATGACATCTGCTTGTATGATACAATACTCATATTAGTGATGAAATACTCATTCTGTGTGGCTAGATTATAACATCTTTTTTAAAGCAGATTTTAAACAATGAACTAATTATTGATCTCGGGAATAGATTTTATCTTGCTTTTGGAGAGGTCTTGCAGTGAACCTTCTTATTTGATGTGATTCAGATTAGATGATACATTTGGATTGTTGCCTTTATAGAGATGACAAAAACAGAATTCATATTTACATAGCTATTAATATAGCATTGTGGAGAAATAAAATTTGGTTTCACTTACAATTCTCCAAGTAATTCTTGAAAGTTTACTTTTCTTCCTATAACTTCTGTTTTGTGGGAGAAGGGAGCAGTGAGGTATTTTTAGGAAAACTGGAACTGGACCATTGGCACAGATGCTTCAGTTCCTGATAACACTGCTTTGATATCTGTGAATCATGATATTTACATTGTTTTTATATGTCTGTGTTAATTGTCTAAAGAATAGAAATGTTCTGACTTTCAGTTACTTGAATGATAGATGCCCCCCGATGTCTACCTAAGTTAGAGCAATAAAATGAATTTTGCTCGGAGCAGCTATTGTATAGATCTAGGTATATGTACCACATATAGTTATTTGTCATGTATGTGATAATTTGCAGAGCTGTATAATAAATTTAAGATGTGCCTTTTACTGCCTCATTCTCCCCTTGTTTTTAATCCATTTTCCCTGGCACAGTCTAAATTTCCAGTCCCTGTGCAGTTTCTATTAACAAATATATAGCAAATGGTACTTGCTTTCTGTTTATAAAATGTAAAAAAGCAAAAATGTTATGGAATGAGATGACTTTTATAGCAGAAACAATATTCATGTGTTGATAATTTAAAAAGAGATATATGGTAATTGTTTAAGACTACTTTAAGACATGTAACAATAGATTTAATTTTACTATTCCTTTTAGTTTGAATTGAAACAATACTTACTATTAAGGTATAATTTAAAATGTTCATAGTTTGTGGTGTTCATGAAAACCCTGTAGACCAGGAATAAAGCCTGATCTACGTGACTTGGTTTTACTGGCAGAACTTAGTAAGTCCACACTCAGAGCTCCTGTGTGGCAGTGGAGCACCTTTCTTCTGGCAGAGCAACACCCATTCTGTGAGGAATGGTAGGCTTTTGCTTAGGGGTGCACCAATAGAGATTTTGGGGGCTGATACCGATAGCCGATTTTTAAGGAAGTATATTGGTCGATACCAATCTGATTTCCGATACAGCTGCATGCAGCTGGTAAGTCTGTTCTGGTGGAAGGGGAGGGAAGGGGCATGGGGGGCAAGACCCCTGCAGTGAGGGAGGGAGTGGGGCGGGGCAGGGGCTGGTGCAGGGCGAGGGACAGAGCTGCAGCTTGTCTGGGGGGGCGCAGGGTGGGGGGCAGCTCCTGCCAATGCATGTACCATGGAAGGCGTGGCGGGGCATGTGCCTCCTGGATCTGCATGGGGCAGGGTGGGCTGCAGCTGTGGGCTGGGGCCAGGGCTAG